AAACATTTGAGCATCATTCGATCATTAAATACGATAATAATTTATGCTATAACTTTCAAGCATTAAAAAGAAAACTAGAGAGAACTGAGATTTTTATATTTGACGTACAAAAATATTTATTCCACGTATAACAAATCAAGAAATTGCATAAATTTTTAAACTCCATCACGATATTAAAGACTTTCATAAATATTTAATCTTATCTTTGTTACATATTTAGGTTTTAAATTAGAAGATGTATACAAAATCTCACATTAATTAAATATATAATTATGATATATTGAACAATAAAATTTGATTAAAAAATTATATATTAAATATTTGCAAGAGATTAATAACAAAAATATTTTCTTAAATGAAAATCGAGAATATAATATCATTTTTAACTATATATTTTACAATATGAGTTTTTTATTTATATTTTTTTTAATTTTTATTTAATACGAAATTTCAACTCATATTTTAATTCTCACCCCTTAACTACAAATATACATATGATCCAAGTGATTTTAAGTTTCCGGGATAGATGTCCTACCACCGCCATGAAAACATTATCCGAGAGTTTGCATGAGATAGAGTCATCATGGTTCTATCAAAAGGGCAACAACACTTTATTTTCTAAGATTGGATCAATGTTTTTTTTTTAGGGTTTAGGATTTAAATTTGATTTGTATAAATGAATTGAGAGGAAAAATAGGAGATAATGAATGGATTTGAAGGTTAACGTGGCCCCAAGTGTAATGCCATGTTTGGGTGCATAAAATTCCACGAACATACATAAATATAGAAAGATTGTGAGAGGATATTGGGCCCACCACGAAAGCAAAGCATTTGTGGTGGTTGAGAAAATATTAAGATGGCGAATGATGATGCACACCACAACTTTACTTTATATCAATCTCTCAATCTCTCTTTCTCATACTTCTTCTTCTTCTTCTCATCTCCCACTCGTGTCGTGCGTAGCCTCCAATATTCATCTCAACCCATCATTCCATTCCATCACACTCAAAAAATAATATCATATATCCCAAGGACGCTAATCATGCCATCCTGAATATAATGATAAGAAGATCTTCAAAAAAATTCAATGCAAGATTTTAGTTCTAGATTCCTAAACATTTTAAAAGGGCATCCAATGTATATATTTCGATTTCTTCCTAGATCCCACCTCGTTTACAAATTATATCTAAGAATAATTTATATCTATTTTTTTATTTCTATCTATCAAGATATTTTTTAATAATAAAAAATAGACATGATAAATAATAATATAAGTTTTTTTTTCTTTTATAACATCCAATTTCTTCCTCGGTTTGTATTGCCTTTCTTTATGTTTTGTTTTTATGTTGGGTAATTAAGAAAACAAAGAAAAAGAAGATAATTTGACTAAAAATTATATTGTTCCAAAACAGTGAAAAAAGGTTTAAATATATGAAAAATTGATTGGTGTATATAGTTGATTTGATAGAAGTACAAATGATTAGCAGTATTTTTTTTTTTAAATTATCAACTTGAACTGTAATATAAATTACTAAGTCATTCACTTAAAAAAATATATTATGCAATTTAAACAATGATAAATAATAGAAATTATTTTATCAATGAAAGAGATTGAAATGATGATTAAAAAAAGCATTGGTTTAACTCACACCGACAGAGAGTGGAAGGTCTCTTGGACAACCATAGGTTCAATTCAAAGTGAAAAATGCAAGTCACTAAAAAAAAAAAAATAATGTTAAAAATGTTCAATTTTTCAAGGGACTAATACAATAATATTTTCATAAATGAAATATAAGTTAACTATGACACTATCTTTAATTAAAAAATTTAAAATATTAATTTATGAGTCTTTTTTACTTATAAATTATTAATTTTTTTTTAAATTATAAACTTATACTTAAATTTTCAAAATTTTTTTTAAATGTGATTTTCAAAATTTTTTTAAAATGTGATTTTTTTATATTAATATACTTTTCCTTCTAACAGAAACATTTTTTAACCATAAATACTTAATAATATTATTTTCCAAAAAAAAATGCAAAGATCTTAAATTTTGATCACAATGTAAGATAAAAAAAAACTTAAATATAATATATTCTATTTATACCTATCTATTCATACGGATTATTTTATTATTATTTAAGAGTGAAATATTTAGAGAATTATATATATATATATATATATATATATATATATATATATCTTAATTATTTTAAAAAAATATTATAATAAATTATATTTTTAAAATAGATAATTAAATTTTATATTAGAGTCGATAAAATAATGAATCAAATCTTATAACATCGGTTCGATAAACAAGAATTATATTATATATATAATATTATCATAGTTTTTAATTGATGTAAAATTATAAAGATTTCATCGTATTATTTTTTTTTATTTTAAATATTGTAAATGTTAGTTCTGATGTCACATTAAAAAAAAATCAAATATTTAATTCAATCCTATTATATTATTTATATATAATAAAACTATAATAATTTATATATTATAATACTATTTTATTTGAATATAAATAGAATGATTATAATGACTTGTATATTATAATATTATATTTTTAATATAAGTAGAATTTCTTATTTTTAATAATATTAATTGGTATGAAGTAAAAACGTTGTTATTACTAAACTAAACATGATGGTATATTGGGGAGACATGAGATGAGGTTGGCATGGAATAAAAAAGAAAAGAAAATGAGGCACATGGATTTCATTTATGCAAATTGCAGTGGGGAGTAGTCTTCATTTTTGTCTCCTTTAATAGTTGACTATGGTCGGCCATGTTACTGAATTTTTGGTCTTAAAATAATATCACAACCCAGGTATGAATGTGTGACCCCAACTTCCACTTCATCTTTTCATAAAAGAAAAGTTTTTTTCTCTATTCCCTCTTTCTTATCATCCACTATTTTATTAACATCACATCCAATTTTATTGCTACCAAGAGGAGCCTTTAAGAAAGGGAGTGCAAGAAGGGATAAAAAACAAACACATTTAATTTTTTTTGTGTGTGTGTCTTATTCATGGAATATATAATTTTAAGTTAATTGAATGTAGAAGGATTAAAAGAACAACGGCAAAAAGTTAAGTTTTTTCTTCTTATTTTAAAGAATAACAAATTTAATTGTGTTAAGTAATACTTGAATTACTATAAAGTTATTAAAAAGAATATATATGAGAGAAGACAGATTTTTTTGTCATTACGTGATCACTTTCACATTGAAAAGAGACAGTATATAAATATTATGCGTGTGTACGAGTGTGGCTTTTTTTATTATTCTGTTATCACTTTCACAAATTAAAATGTTTGAGCCAGTCACTGATCACTACTAGTCCAAACAAAGAAGTAGGTATCCGTATCGAAATATCTTTTTACTCGAGAGAATGTTAAATTAAATATAATTATACAAGTGTTATTAAACAAATAATTTCTAAATCAAACTTCACTTGAAGTTAAATAAAGAATTTTTTATTAAAAAAAAACAGTTAAAAATTAACAAAATACTGCTTTAAAAATAAAACAAAGTTTACTTATAGAGAGTTTTCTTTAAAATAGTTATTATGTAGTTTAAGATCAACTTATATTTATACTTTATAGCACACACACATTGATTAAAATGTTTTAATATCTAAAAAAAGTATTAATCAAAGTGTTGTGTTAAAATTAATTAGAATTATAAATACACAATGAGTGTGCACACAAGAATTATGAAGATTTGCTGAATTGGTGTAGAAATGCAAACAAGAAAAAGATGATGCCCTAAACTATCAAGAAAGAATGATTGTCACCACCTAACCTTGTCCCTTTTGGTGAAAATTTTTTCCTTTCTTTTTGTCTTAATTAGAATAAAAATTCATTGTTTGAAATTGGGTCACTTTAGGATTTGAGCCCAAGAAAAGATGTAAACAAAAGTGTAAACTTTAAGTGGTCAAGGTCAATGGCCCAAATCTCCACTATTCAGAAACTACACAATAAAAAATTGTTTTTTTTTTTTTTCTATACCTTCATATCTATCTAAAAAGATATTATTATTTTTAATATAATTAGGTTATAAATTTATTCTTTTGAGTATTTTCTAGAATGAGTTTTTAAAAATATTCTCAACTGATGTTTCTTGAATATTTTCAAAAACATTTTAAAAAATTAACTATGTAATATTTTTGGAAATGTCAATTCAAAAATACATAAAATATTTTTATCATTTTACACAGATCATGGATACATAAAAAAAAAAAATAGAAATAGGAGGGTACAAGAAAATCATACCCCAAATTTCAAACAAAACACCAAACAAATGTTTTTTTTTCATAAAAATGAACCTGAATTTCAAGTAAATGAAAAAACAAATCACAAGTTAAGAACCTACAGACAAAGGTGATTTTTCTTTTTACATAATCCAATTAAGTTATTATTAATCAATCAAACCATCCATAAATCCGTATTATAATTAAATTTTCATAACGAGTCACTACAAAAAAAAAAAAACTGTTAAGTAAATTATTTTTCACAATTAAATATTCTTTCATTATAACATTTTTGATGAATTCCGTTAAAGAAATTGTCAAAGTTATACTAATTTTACGTATTTAATTAGAAATAACGAGACTTAACTAAAACAAGTATACAAATCAAAGACTAAAAATAAAGTTAATATTTTTTTCTTTTTTATCCGTCAGAAATTTGCTTTTACAAGATAGTTTGATAGATTTAAACAAGGGTCGTAACGAGGTATGATTACACCGAATAAGCAAATATCAACTGAAACATACGCATATGATTAAGGTTATTGAATCGAAGCATTGGTTCCGTTTGAATAAATCCAAATATATAAAGAAAAAATTAATGAAGCGTAAAATTTATTTATTGAAATAATGTTATATTTATTAAAATAATAAGGAACATTATCCTGAATTGATGTGTGTGTGAACATGATGCTCTGATTCATTGGTAAGAACAAAAGCAGGCTTCTCCATCTTTGCATGCCAATAAAATCCGTTATGTCCACCGCGGCTCCGCTTCTCACGTCGCGCCACGTGGCAGTCATCGGCGCCGGCGCCGCCGGTCTGGTGGCGGCGCGCGAGCTCCGACGGGAGGGGCACAGGGTGGTGGTTTTCGAGCGAGGGAAGGAAGTAGGAGGCACGTGGGGGTACAGTCCGGAGGTGGAATCGGATCCGCTAGGTTTGGACCCGAACCGGAGCTTAGTTCACTCGAGCCTCTACGATTCGCTTCGAACCAATCTGCCTCGGGAAAGCATGGGTTTCCGAGATTACCCCTTCAGGAAGAGGGAGGAGAAAGGGAGGGATTCTAGAAGGTTCCCAGGTCACAGAGAGGTGTTGATGTATTTGCGGGATTTCGCCGTTGATTTTGAAATCATCGAATTGGTGCGGTTTGAAACGGAAGTGGTGTTCGCTGGATTGGGCGAGGGAGGAAAGTGGAGGGTGACGTCAACATCACCGCATAATGATCATGTGGACGAGATTTACGACGCCGTTATCGTTTGCAACGGACATTACTTTCAACCTCGTCTTCCTCGTATCCCTGGTTCTTTCCCTTCCCTTCATTATTTACCGTACTACTGAACTTGACTTCATTCACACTTTAGTTTTATATTTAGGTTTATTTTTCTGTAATGAAAAAGAGTAAGTTGACTTTTATAGGGTAATGGAAGAATTTCAAAATCTGGCTCGGTCCTGTCACACACACGTATATATATATATATATATATATATATATATATATATATATATATATATATATATATATATTTTTTTTTTTTTTTTTCAAAAATTACCCTTAATTGTTCAATCAATTTAAAAACTTCATGAAGTGTTTGTTTGTTTTTTGCATATGAAATATTAAATCAAGTAAATATAGGATATTATGCATAGAATATTTATACTTTTATAGTTCCTGTTTTGATTTGTTTCATTTTACAGTTTAGACTTTTTTTCAGGCATTAATGCGTGGCCAGGGAAGCAGATGCATAGCCATAATTACAGAACACCTAAGCCTTATCAAGATAAAGTATATATGTAACGTATTAATTCTTTCTTCAATTCTACACGTCTGTGTGTTATGCATTATTGCTGAAGCTGTTTTTATCTATAATTTCCTGCTAATGCTTTCTAGCTCCATACTTTTTTTTTTTAATATATTTTTTGTATATTTCATTTATGTGCGTCCCAATGGGTTGATGGAAAATATTGTTGCCATTCATTTACTGTTATGGTAAAGTCTGGACAATTGAGAATCTTGATTTTCACCTATATTTTTTGATGTGATCTAACTAAGTTTATGTGATTCTGCTTTGGGCAGGTTGTAGTTCTAATAGGTAGCTCGGCGAGTGCGGTTGATATCTCTCGAGATATCGCAACACTTGCTAAAGAAGTCCACATTGCAGTTAGGTCTCTTGAAGAAGAGAAGCTGGGAAAGGTGGCTGGTCATGAAAACATGTGGCTTCATTCCATGGTAAAAATCATCATCCGTGGTGAGAATGGGATGACTTTCATGAGAATCCATAAAAAAAATTTTACAGCTGTTGCCAAGAATGGTTTGTCTGATGCTAGTATTTATTATTCAATGCAGATTGACAGTGTTCATGAAGATGGTAAAGTGGTTTTTCAAGAAGGAAATGCAATTGGTGTGGACTTCATCATACATTGCACAGGGTACTCTGAGCATTCTCCGTAAATCTTTTGGTTTCTAAAGTTTTACTCTCTTCTAATAATCTTTAAAGTGAAATAGTTTGTAAAATATTAGAATCATATTACACTCTCTTGTAAGTACTGCACAAATAATTAAATTAATCCCTCAATAATAGTAAAATATAAACTTAAGAACTAAACTGATGAATCTCAAATATTATGGAGATACCACTTATATAATTTTATTATTTTTAAGGGAAGAGATTGTTAGATATTGTTTATATATTATTTAATATTGTTAAGATATTGTTAGATATTAACCATAATATCAAACAATATCTTCCGTTTATTATGTTACTTTCGATTCTCTTTTAGTTGTATCTCTCTACTATAAATAGACTACCTTATGTGTGATTTATACACAAGGGAGATTAATCCCAAACTCTATTTTTTTTATATTCAACATGGTATCTAGAGCTTAAGGTTGTTTTGATTTTTTTTTTCGCCTTTGACCACTATTGAAGCCGCCACCACCGCCGCTATCGTTGTCGGTTATTTGGTAGTGTGAAAGTGCATGTCTAGGAAAGTTCTGACAAGAAAAGACTTGGTATTTAAGCGTGTCCATTAGTGACCCACCTCTCTTTCCTGGGAACTTATCTTGTGTACTGGTTCACGCCGCTGTCACTATCGCCTCCGCCCTTTATGAGTTCTTCCGCTCCTTTTAGTACTTCCAATTCTGTCAGTACTGCGTTTGATCCTTCCATCTACACTAACTATGTTAATGTGCACTTGTCCATTGACAAATTAACTGGTCCTAATTATGCCACATGGTTATCAAACGTCAGATTATGGCTTAAGAGTCAGAAGTATCTTGATCATCTTGCCCCGAAAGCACCTACTCTCACTCCTGGTGAGGAAGACCGTTGGGACACCATTGATGCTCAATTATGCGTGGTTCTCAAGGGTACTCTTGATCATTCGTTAAAACAAATTTTTTGTTCCTACGAAACATGTGCCAAAATCTGGGAACATGCCAAGTTATTATACACCAATGATACTCAACGTCTCTATGATGTCTGTTCTAAATTTGTAGATGTTATTGCCTCTAAACATCAAAATTCTATGACTGATTATATGGGCAAAATTCATGCTCTTTTTTATGAGTTGAATGAGTTATTGCCTCCTTCCCCCGACCCTGCCACCGAGATAGGACAACGATCAAAGTTCTTCATGCTAGGGGCATTACACGGACTTGCTGATCAATATTCACATATTCGTGATCAGATTTTGGGTTCTCCAGTTGTCCCCACCTTGACATCGACCTGCTCCACTCTTTTGCGTATACCAGCAAAGCCCAACCCTGACACACCTGCTTCTGTTAATGATTCTTCTGCATTGGTATCTCACCGTGATGATCGAACTCGCCCTTGCAAACAGGGAAAATGACGTCCTAAGTGTGAACATTATGGCAAGCTAGGTCACAAGATTGACCAGTGTTATGCATTACATGAGTGTGAACATTGTGACAAACTAGGTCACAAGATTGACAAGTGTTATGCATTACATGGTCGTCCTACTCGATCTACTGCAATTGCTTAGACTGATATTTCTCCACCTTTATCTGCTAAGGATCCTCCTTCTTCTATTTCATCAGACACACCTGATATGTTTAACAAATTTTTCAAATGGTATTAGGATCAACAGTCTTCTAGTTCCACCGTGTCCGTCGCACACACGGGTACATCTTTTGTTGGTCCGACCCAATCTTCTTCCGGTCCTTGGGTTTTTGATTCGAAGCCACTGATCATATTACCGGTAACAAATCTTTGTTCTCCTCTTTATCCTCTCCCGATCCTTTACCTTTTGTTACACTAGTCGATGACTCTAGAGTATCATCTCATGGTGTTGGAACTGTTAAATTTTTCCCTTCTTTAACCATTGATAATGTTCTTTATGTCCCTGGGTCTCCCTTTAACCTGTTATCCATCAGTCGTCTAACTCGTTCTCTTGATTGTGTTGTTTCTTTTACCAACAATTTTGTGTGTTTACAGGACTGGAGTTCGAAACAGGTGATTGGCACATAATGTGAGTCTCATGGTCTTTATCATCTTCGTCCCTTTACACATGTTGGTGCAATTATAGAGTCTCCCTCTCTTCTCCATGCTCAGTTAGGTCATCCAAGTTTTGCCAAGTTACAACTTGTCCCTGCCTTATCTAAATTGTCTAGTTTGGCATGTGAGTCGTGTCAATTAGGCAAACATAATCGTATTTTCTTTCCTCGTAGTGTCACACGTGGTGCTTCGTCCCCTTTTGCCGTGGTTCACTCTGACATTTGGGGACCTAGCCACGTTAAGTTTACTTTAGGTTTTCAATACTTTGTTACTTTCATTGATGATTATTCCAGATGCACTTAGTTATTTTTGATGAAAAATCGTTCTGAATTATTTCATATCTTTCAAACTTTTTTCAATGAAATTCAAACTCAGTTCGGTGTTTCTATTAGAGTTTTGCGCAGTGATAATGGTCGTGAATATCTTTCTCATTCTTTTAAACAATTCATGGCTTCTCATGGTATTTTGCATCAAACTTCTTGTGCTTATACACCTCAACAAAATGGTATAGCTGAACGTAAAAATAGACATCTTATTGAAACAACTCGCACTCTTTTAATTCATGGAGAGGTTTCTCAGCATTTTTGGGGTGATGCTCTTCTTACTGCATGTTATCTTGTTAATCGCATGCCATCTTCGGTTCTAGATAATAAAATACTTCATTCCATTTTATTCCCTCATGAACCACTTCATCCCTTACCTCTAAAAGTTTTCGGGTCTACATGTTTTGTTCATAATTTTAGTTCTAGTCTTGACAAGCTTTCTCCTAGATCACATAAATGTGTTTTCTTAGGGTTTACAAGATCACAAAAAGGATACAAATGTTTTTCTCCTTCTCTTAACCGTTATTTTGTGTCTGCAGATGTCGCCTTTGATAAGTTCTCTTTTTATTTTAAAAGTCAATCTTCACCTCTGTCTCCATCCAATCTTGTCAACACTCCTAGTACATTTAATGTTCTTGTTGTTTGTGACCCTCTAACTGTGTTTTCTTCACCATTAGATTCTACTTCGCAATCAGCTTCTTCTTCACTGCCTCTTTAGGTTTATAGTTGCCGAAACCAATCACAACCACCACCATGTGACTCTACTCAAGTGCCAACTACTCTGTCTCCTCCGGATGTGACACCTGAGTCTGACCTTCCCATTGCCCTCCGAAAAGGTATCCGTTCTACACGTAATCCCTCTCCTCATTATATTGGTTTGAGTTATCATCGATTGTCATTACCTTTTTATACATGTCTTTCCTCTCTTTCTTCTGTGATCATTCCCAAAACTGTCTGTGAAGCTTTAGCCCATCCTGGTTGGCCTCAGGCCATGTTAGATGAACTAAGTGTTCTTCATAATAGTGGAATTTGGGAATTGGTCTCGTTACCATTTGGAAAATCTGTTGTTGGTTGCAGATTGGTGTTTGCTATCAAAGTTGGACCTGATGGTACTATTGATCTCCTCAAAGCTCGTCTTGTGGCCAAAGGTTATACTCAAATTTTTGGGTTGGATTATGGAGATACCTTTTCCCCTGTGGCAAAGATGACTTCGGTTCGTTTATTTATCGCCATGGCCGCTCTTCAACAATGACTTCTTTATCAACTAGATGTTAAAAATGTTTTCCTCAATAGTGATTTGCAAGAAGAAATCTATATGGAGCAACCTCTTGGGTTTGTTGCTCAGGGGGAGTCTTCTGGGATGGTATGTCGTCTTCGCAAATCCCTATATGGCCTAAAACAGTCTCCTAGGACCTGGTTTGGAAAGTTTAGCAAGGTTGTTCAACAATTTGGTATGACTCGGTGTGAAGCAGATCACTCTGTCTTTTATCGACACTCAAGTGCTGGATGTGTTTACTTGATAGTATATGTTGATGACATCGTTCTTATAGGTAGTGACAACCATGACATCTCTCAGTTGAAACAATATCTCTGTCACCATTTTCAGACCAAAGATCTTGACAAACTTAGATATTTCTTGGGTATTGAGGTGGCACAGTCCAATGATGGTATTGTTATATCTCAGAGGAAGTATGCCATGGATATTTTAGAGGAAACTGGGTTGGTGAATTCAAAGTCTGTTGATAGGCCCATGGATCCCAATACTAAACTTTTACCAAATCAGGGGGAGCTTATACCTGATCCTGAGAAGTATAGAAGATTGGTTGGAAAATTGAATTATCTTACGGTTACTCGTCCCGACATTTCCTTTGCGATCAGTGTAGTAAGCCAATTTCTTAATTCCCCATGTGAAGATCATTGGAATGCGAGTCATTCGTATCTTAAAATATATTAAAGGATCTCCTGGAAAATGATTGTTATATGATTCTAATAACCATACAAGAGTTGTTTGCTACTCAGATGCTGATTGGGCAGGATCTCCTTCGGATAGAAGATCTACATCTGGATATTGTGTCTCCATTGGTGATAACTTGGTCTCATGGAAAAGTAAGAAACAAAGTGTTGTGACAAGATCTAGTGCAGAAGCAGAATATAGAGCTATGACCTCAGCTGCTTGTGAACTTGTTTGACTCAAGCAATTGCTTAGAGAGTTACAATTTGGAGATGTCACTCAAATGTCACTTGTGTGTAACAATCAGGCTGCTTTTCATATTAGTTCTAATCCCGTCTTTCATAAGAGGACCAAACACATTGAGATTGACTGTCATTTCATTCGAGAAAAGATTATGTCTGGAGACATCAAGACTGAGTTTATTAACTCAAGTGATCAGTTAGCAGATATTTTTACTAAATATTTACGGAGTCCTAGAATTGATTATATTTGTAACAAACTTGACACATACAATTTGTATGCTCCAGCTTGAGGGGGAGTGTTAGATATTGTTTAGATATTATTTAATATTGTTAAGATATTGTTAGATATTAACTATAATATCAAACAATATCTTCTGTTTATTCTGTTACTTTCAGTTACTCTTTTAGTTGTATTTCTCTACTATAAATAGACTACCATATGTGTGATTTATACATAAGGGAGATTAATCCCAAACTCTATTTCTTCTATATTCAACAAGAATAATCAACGATTGAAATATAAAATTTGAAGACCCAATATATTCGGTTTTGAATTAGATAACCTCTTATTGAGACACAACTCATACCAATTAGTTAAAAGAAAAAGGTGAAGCAATATTGACGTCCATTTGTACCTTTTCCAGATATAAGTATGATTTCCCTTTCCTTGAAACCAAGGGGGAGGTGACGGTTGATGATAACCGTGTAGGACCACTCTACAAGCATGTTTTTCCACCAGCGTTGTCTCCATGGCTTTCATTTGTTGGGTTGCCTTGGAAGGTTGTTTCCCATGTCCATGGTTCTTCATCTTCGTCCTTGCCTTGAAAGAAAAATCTCTAACCTGTTTATTTTCGTAAATTGCTTTAGTACTAATGCATGTATGACGGCAGGTTCTTCCCTTCCCCATGTTCGAGCTGCAGAGCAAGTGGATAGCTGGAATTTTATCAAATCGCATTGCACTTCCTTCAAAAGAGGATATGGCTGAAGATATTGAAGCGTTTTACTCATCACTTGAAGCCTCTGGCACTCCTAAGCGTTACACTCATAATATGGACATTCTTCAGGTGGCCTTTTTAAACCTTCTTTCTAGCTCGTGCTTTTTATCTTTGCATATCTAAAGTCAAGACTTGACATGTATTTGGGATCGTATATTATAGTGGGACTACAATAACTGGATTGCAAATCGGTGTGGGTTTCCTTCTATTGAAGAATGGAGAAAGCAAATGTGCATGGCCACATCCAAGAACAGGGTGTTGCGACCCGAGTCTTACCGTGACGAGTGGGAGGATGATGATTTGGTTCAGCAAGCGGAACAGGATTTTGCCAATTATCTGATCTAATGTTTGTGATAGGTCTTAAGCCAAGTAAATCATGCGTTCTGCTCTTGATTCAGTGTTTAAAAATAAGATTGAAAATCAACTTCAGAATAGAAAATTATCCATTAATAAACATGTGATGGCAATGTAATCATTAGTTCTTTCATTTTTTAATGCTTCCCTTTAGATAATAGCTACGTAGCATGTACCTAACAGATAAAAAAACACATTAAAAGGATTTGAACTATTAATTAAAAATAAATTTTCATTGAATAAATGTTAACCGATAATAGACTCGCAACTTTCAACTATAAATCGTGCACCAAACTTGGAACAGCTTCTTTTTTCTTCTACTTTTTCTGCTCTAAATTAACATATCCACAAAAAATATCTATTTCATAGCATACGTATAACAGCTTTTGACGTCGAAAGTGAAGACATATGTTCGATTCCGTTTCCTCAGGGTGCGGCGAACTTATATCTTCGATAGACTTCCCACTCATGGGGCTACCTAATACAATACTTGAACATGGTGGAACTTGGCCTGTTACAACATATCAAGATACCATCAAGTCATCAGAGTGTTGCACAAAAGATGTTCAATATCCAGTTGGGATTCTTTTTGTTCTGGCCATGACAGAATTGGCAGAATAGTATCAGTCAAAAAATACAAACAGCTTCTTCAGAAAATCCAACAGATGAATGAGTACGTTACTAAAATCATTTCTTCTGAAACGAGATTTTACGTAGGAGTGTAGCTGAACCCTGAAAATTTTGGTCTAGCACTATTTTAACCATACTGGCTCAAGAACAAAACCACAATTTTATGGATGTGAAAGAATAACATGACTACCTGATTTCTATTTTTCCTCAGACAAGGCCTTTCCAGATTGATTTTCGCGCCCTTTCTCTTTGGTAAGATACATATGTTTCTTTGACTCAAATGAATTCCTTCTATGTGTCTTAGTTGGTCCTTCCTCTGTGAAGAGATGGCTATATTTTTCCAGTACCCTCTCTTTCTCTTTAACTAAGCCTAACATCTCATATGCATTTGCCACTTTCTGAACAATAGATTTATCCCGAGGTTTTCGATCAAAAGCTTCCAGACCCTTGAAAAGCTTTTCATAAGCAAGGGAAAATCAAGAGAAGTTACTTGCGAGTTAATTTAAAAACAATTGTGTATAACTGTCAAACAAAAAGTGAGGATGCTGGATGCAAATCCAATAATACCTTTGATGTTAACACAATATGCAAGCTGACAACCTCAAAAAAGATGACTGGGAAAAGTAATCTTTGCTGTTCCTCTAATCTATATTCAAATAATAATAATTTACTAATGATAAACTTTTTTATTTTATTATCCTCAGTGATGACTATTCTACTTTTCAACTGTTACTATTCATAATTTCAGTCCAGAATTTACTGATTAAAATGTTAAAAGAACAGTGCAAAAAATGAAACTCTAAATGAAGGTTACCAGTAACTAAATTTGTAAGGATACTGCAAATAATAGTTTTGTACTATTTAAGCTCTCATCAACTGCATTTATAGCTTATAACCCTTTTCGAGAATGAAGATCATTCATGACTCTATTGTTACTGAGAGATTTATCCCATAAAAAATCAAGTAAATCATAAAACAAAATCATGGACATTTTAGAAGGGAACACATTGCAGTTGCAGATTAATATTACCATACAACAACAACAGCAACAACAACAACAACCCAGATTTGTTCTGAAGTCATGGAATGAAATCTATCAAAAACCAAAAATTCCTTATTCCACTTTGAGAGAATAATGTACAAAAGTATCAAATTGCCATGAGTGCAAGCAAATTGAAACTTTATATAAGTGATATATAGCTTGAAATATAAGAAATGTCATAAATAATGGAAATCTTACCTTAACCAGATCTTCCAGCATGTTGTTTCGGTAATATACAGATATCATGAGATGACACAATTGCCAAGGAACTGAATGCAAATCAGAACCAATTTTCATTTCCCAAAATTTGTGTGCTTCTTCCACTCGATGGTCCATATCTAGAGCCCGTATCAATTGACCATATGTTCCCATTGTCATCCCCTGCCCTTTGCTCAGCATCCATTTAATTACCTTGGATAGGATATTAAACAACCCGAGTAATTTACTAACAGTACTACGGAGGTAAGCTAAAATTCAACCCTGGACTTTCCTTTTTCCCCAATTGTTAAAAGTACTTCCAAACATCTTTATTTACTCAAAATTCATGATAAATCATAAACTAACATGCTAACAGATCATCCCAAAATCAAATAAACTCCATAAAGTTATAACTTAATCAACAAAAAATAGAAAGCAACAAATGGATAAATTGAACAACTTACACTTAGAGAATTAGACTACAAAACTCTGCTACAAACACAAAAAAAATTGCTGGTCATGTAAATATTAATTGAACTTTAAAAAATTGATAAACTTTACACCATGCTAAGCATTTTTAAATTACCAAATAACCAACAGAATCTTAAGAAAAGAAAGGTGCACATGTCTTGTTTTGATGAAACTTATAAAAGAAAATAAAATAGAAGGTCAAATGAATCTCAGTTTTCCCGTAAGTTAAAATGACTCGTTTCACGCACATTAATTAATCCGATATTTTAAGTGTAACTTGAACTACTACTAGACATGGTTCATATTTACAAAGATAATGGATAAAAAGAATTAGTGAAACTACACAGTAGTGATACCTGCACGACCCTATGCCACTGTTGTTCCTTCTCAAGAGAATTCAATATTGTTTTCAATGAAGCGATGGGGAAGTTTTGTTCCCACGCAACCCATGCATCAAGAGCACCATATACAGCCTCCTTACTGTCGTTGAGTTCAAGCAGCTGCATTATTATTATCAGAAGTTTTTTTAAAACAACAAATTCAGTGTGACTCACCAGGTTTAAACCTTAAAACACCAATGTATATTTATGGACGAAACTAAGCATAACTATTGATCATCATCATCACTATACTTACTGTAGAGTAAAGATATTTGTTCTTATCTTTTCTTGATACGTTTTCCCCAATATAACTCCTCGGAACTAGGGTGTCGGGAGGAGGATCACATTTTGTCTGACAGGGAGGGAAGATAATTGGATTATGTAACGGTAACTTCATAACTAACAATGAATGATGAACAGATACAAACCTGTTGCAAACTCGATGGAGGAGGGGACACTTGACTGTGACAGCAACGCTGGTGCTGAACCTTCACATCACTTACTTTAATTAAACTCAATCTACCAACCTGATGAACGAAGTCACTTTAAGGAAATTGGAGGCGATTTCGGAAAAGCGATGAGATGAAAGAGAGAAAGAGAGACTCACAAGATTAGAGATTCGAGGTGACCTGAACCTCCACATGGTGGTTCACGGTGGTGACGGACTCTACCAACTGGACCTGCCTTTCTCTCCTTCTTCCCCATCTCCTTTTTTACATCTATGCACCCTGGGCCTAATTGATTTGGCCCATTCCATATTTTTGGGAAACCAAAAATTAAAAAGAGAAAAAATAAAGGGTTTTGTAGTTCAGCGTTTTAAATAGCAACACTTCTCTCTGCACTTAAAAAAAATCAACCAGTACATAAATATTAATTATTAATATTGTCAATGTTAATTTTATTGATTATTAAATTATGATGTTCTCCTTGTTAATTAAAAAATTAATTTACAGTAAATTATACTAAATATTTGATAATTGTATTGGATTTGCGGTAAAAATAGGGACCAATTTCATATTATAAAAAAATAACTAATTAACGGGGAATCGTTTTGGTCACTAAAAAGTTTTTTTTTCTTTGCTATCTTTTGGTCGCAAAAATTTAAGGGACTAATTTACCGATAAAAAGTTATTGTCCAAAAAGATTAATTAATAGAATATTTCAGTAGCTAAGTTTTTGACAAAAAATTAAACAATTAGCCGCAGACAGTATTTGATCACTAATAATTATTTATATATATTAAATATTGTAACCACGAGATATTAGTCACTAACTTCTTAGGGATAATTTTTCTAATACTTATATATACTAATTTTATTTAAACAACCAATTTTTTTTGTTGATTATTAAATTATGTTGACCTGTTTGATAATTTTAAATACTAAAAATTTAAAATTATAATAAATAATAATAAATATTTGATAATTATAAACGAATTTTTTTTGTCGAACTGGAAGATTTGATAAATATACGTTTAAGATTAACTATGATATAATTAGGACAAACTTAAGTTATTAAATTGCCATCAATTTTTGTCTCTATTAAGTTGCACAAACTGTTTGAAACCAAGTTAACAACAACAATTATTGTTAAATTCAATCCAAATACGACAAGAGATGAAATAAATAATGACGAAATATTGGGGTCACCAATTAGAGGTAAACAATTAAATAATAAATATTTAATTTATATAAATTTTACAGCAACAATAAGTATTGATAGCTAATTTTTTAATGGTAATAATTTGCAATTCATAATTAACTAAAAGAAAAGTGTTATTAAAAAAAATACAAATAGATCAAAGAAAAAAAACTCAAACAATTTGGATTAGATGAGTTGATCACAACAATTAAAAAAACTAATTTCATCTTTGTAAATAAATATTTAATTGAGAGCTACGTAAAAAATATATATATATATATATATATATATATATATATATACAAAGATATTATAATAATTAAGTAATAATAATAAAGATACATATATAAGTCAATAATAATTTTGATATAAAAATTGATCTAATAATATTATAATAACATATAAGAAAATAAAATACTCTTACTTTTAAATGAAATATATTATTTTTTATTAATCCATCGATATGTTTATTAAAAATAAAATTGTAACAAATTAAAATATTAAAAACGATAATATTGCAAATATATAAATTAATTATAATAATACTATAATATAAATATAAGAACAAAATATCTCTATTCTTAAATATTTTTATTCTTAAATGAAATAAAAATATTTATCAAATTTTGATAATATTTTTTAAACAATAATATTATTTTTTACAATTAAAATATGTTGATCTATTAATAATTGTAAAATTAATTGATGTCTTGTTTATTTAAATTAAAATCAATATAATGTATATCTTTTAAAATATACTGACTCATTTGTTTACTTTCTCATTATAAAGATATACTTATTACTCTCATGGTTGTGGTGGTACCCACATCAATATTCGAGAGTGAAAGATAAAATTATGTTAGAAATTCTTTCACAAAGGTGTAGTGCAACTCACATATATGTGAGAAATGCACTAGAATGAAAAATACATATAAATAATCCCGTGATGTATATATTTCGTAGACTCAACAAATTTAACTTCAAATAAAACCTATAACCTCTAAGATTCTAAAAATTTTCAAAAGTAAAGAATACTATTAAAGGAGATCGTGCCTACCCTGTAAATGACTAAATGGCCAATTAATGTTTCCTACCCAAAATTTTCTTGAAGAAGCACAAATCGTAAGAACCAAAAATTTACAAGCTTTCTAACATTCAATTTTTGATCAATAATAAAGGGAATGCATATAAATTGGGTTAACTCAAAAGGAAGTCCAGAACAGAGAGACCAAGTAATAAAAAAAAAATGCTGTATAAATTGGCAACATTATACAAAAATGTCTCCCTGGTTATATCACCAGAATTTAAGAACACGGAACCTACAAAATTGGTTTATTCGATTCAAAAAATAATTTGTTGGAGGATATGTTATTAGTACAATGGAGATCGATGAGGAACACCTTTTCGCCGGTTCACCATGGTGTACCAAATATCTGGTACCATGTCGACACTGCTACGTTTCTTTTTGAGTGACTCATTCAAGCTCTCTGCCACACCACCCCCACTATTACTACTATTACTACTTGTTGAACCAGAAACAGTGGATGAGTCTAGGACTGAATCTGTTGTGATTTGGCTATCTTCAATCTGTTGCGTGTTCTCGCTGCTTCGTTCTTTGTCTAGTAGCACAGAGAATTCATACTTGTTGCAAGTGCCCATTATGGTTGTGCTTTTGCTAATTAGTAGAAGATGTTGATGCACCTGCTACAATGAATATGTGTCCAATAATTAGTATCAAAATATGAGAAAAAGAAAAGAAAAATAAAGTTGCATGGAAATTTGTGATTTAAATAACACGAAAGTTGAACCTTGCAAGACAGAGAGCAGAAGATGTATGGATCTTGTAGGTTGCGGTCACACGTGATGCAAAGGTTGGTAGAGCCTTTGTGAGAACGAGTGTGTGGCCTTTGTTTCAAAAATACAACCTTGGTTTTATTTGTCGTGTATGGCTGTTTATTCATCACAATTCATAAAGAGTTAGATAAAGCAGATCTATAGACTTTTGTTTCTGTTTTAGTTTTAACATTTACGCTTTTGCTTACTTGAACAAGGGAACAATTCAACACTGTTTGAGCATCACCAAGCCGTAATACATCATTGTACATATATCTGCGTATCTGAGACAGGAAACAGAATCCAGAACATAAATACTTGGTTAAGAAAATCATTGCATTTTTCTTTTTAAGTGCAAGTAAAAACTGTTTTGTCTGCACCTGCAGAAGGACGTGAGAGCGGTGAAATGGCAAGCAATGGAGGCAAATGCTGGTGCAGCAATCTAAACAAAATATGTTCTTCTCATTCTTCTTTACAGAACCATGAATCAAACAGCGAGTGAAAAACTTCTCTTCCTTGAGGATGAGAAGCCAATTAGGAACTGAGTTGAACCCAACCTGAGCACCAAACAACAAACACTATATAACCTTTTCAATACCTGAACAGTAATTAGAAAATATACAAGAAAAAAAGAAAGGATTTACCATGCTAGGTTGTTGAGAAAACAACAGAATGAATGTCACACATGATGAATCATAGGAAGCTGAGAAGACTCAAAGATAACTGTAAAATGATTATTTTACTAAACATATGATGAAATGAGAAACCAATGGGGAAAGAGGGGTATAGCTTTCAAAATTGAATGCATATATATAAGGAAAGTCACCGATTTTTTTGGTAAAAGTATTAGACAGAAACATGTTAAGTTTTGAGCTAGGTTGCTAGTTACGTTTTCCATGGGCGATAATGAAATAACATGGCCAACTTTCCGCAATTTTAGACCATACTCCACTTCCGTGTTGAACGTTGCATGCACAATGTGAGTGACAACGCGTTGATAATATGCAGAGTTTGGATAGCTATGTCCTTCTTTCTTTCGGTGTTTGAGGGTGACAAAGAGACATATGGCAAAAATTACGCTTCCTTTATCTTTCTAAATTGATGCCGTTGAAAAGGGTCGACTAAGAAGATTTCGATTGAATTGTACGAACAAAATTCAGCTCCAGATCACTGCAGCTAATACACAATTTGACTTTGTTTATTCTACACATTTGACTGTGACAGGTCGAGAAACTATCACCACGTATTTTGTGTATTACAAAAATATTTATAAACACATAAAAATTTAAAAACTTCAAACACCTATGTTTTCTAATTCATATATATGTGTGTAGGAACAGTAAAAAAAAAAATGTTCCAATGCTCCTTTGGTGATTAGTTATTCGGTTCATAGTAAATTCAAATACCAGTCTACTAACTTTAGTGCATTCCAGTTACTAAAGTGTTAAAATGCCAACTTTAGAGTAAGAGATTAATTGTTTGCTTTAACAATTTCTTTCTTTGTTATCGTGTATCATGATGTGTTATACAGCTATTTTACATTTGTATTAATCGTTTTTTTTTAAGTAGAAAATATGTATATGAGAATGGAATAATATATATAGATACAATTAATCGAGAAAAGAGAAAACTATCATATCATATATGATACTATTTTTACCGGTATAATAACTTGTGGGGGCATTTAGTATATGTGGGTCATTGGTCAGATGTACACTAGGTAGATGGATTTATTGGACTATGTTCAAAATTTACATGACTCTGTTTCCCACCTTAAAAATAATAAAATATGAAGAGTTCATAAAATTCCACAGCAAAAACATTATAGAAGTTAAAAAACCAAATAAGTCCGTTGATTTTTATAAAAAAAAAAAATCCATTGCTCATTCAAATTGTCATTTTGCAGTGATGCAGCATGGTGAAAGGAGTAATTCTGGTTTTTGGGAGAATGACAAAAAGAGGTGGTTATGTTAAGGAAAATAGATGGCCTTGGAAAGGGAAATAACGTTAGATCACATGCAAACCAAACAAATTGTCTGACCTTAATGGCTATATTATTAATTCAACCTATTGATTCCAGATTTTCTTGTAAGAGAGAGAAACACGACCAAGTTCAACTTCTCTGTCCAAAAACTATGAACTAACTTGTCATTATTGATCACAACAGAGCACAAATGTTGTACTCTGTTGGTTCAATGATGATGATAATTCTAAAGAATTGCTTTTCAGACACCAATGGGGTATTTAAGCACTAAAAATATCTTCCACAATGTTGCTGCTTTGAGTATGTTTTCAAAAGAACAAAGGTCTCTGTAGGTGAATTGCAAATTGAAGTATGATGAAATACAAGGACTTACTAAGAGGATTAAGCAACCCGGTAAGGAGTAAGATGCATAGAAATATTTATGAATGAGACGATGAATAAATAAGTAAATAAACACTATTTTTAATTTAAAATATTAAGATATTAACTTTTGCTTGATTTATTTTATATATTATTTACTTTTTTTTATTTTTATTCAATAATTTTTACTGTAGTTAATTAATTAATTGCTTTAAAATTTTATTAATTTAAGCTTTTTGTTTTGAAGTTCAGGAGCAAAAACTATAAATAAATAATTATTTTTTAAAGGACGAGTTTTTTATGAATTTTGGGCTATATCTCTCCACCTAGTCATACATCTCCATCATCTGTCTGTACATGCTTGCATCAGAAAAGATGGAAGGGAAGTTCTTTACTTAAAACTTTTACATTTTATATTTTTCTGCCTTAAACAATGGAATTAGACTCCACTCATAGATAAACCTATTGTCTTAAGCATGTATTTAAATAAATGATTTAATTATCCATACTAAACAACCTTACATAGGAATCACAATTCATCCTAATTACCCTAAACCCCGGCCTACAAGTGTTTAATATATAAGTATTAAAAAAATATTTTTAAGGGGAGAAAGTGTGATAAAAAAATATATATTTCAAGGGTGGAGGACTCTGGTGAAGGTGTCATAAGATTCATCTTTAATATTAAAGATACGATAAATATAGACGACAACAATTATCATCTGATACAGTTAAAATTCTCTCTAAAAACAAGATAAAAAATAAAATAGAAAATAATGCTTAAAATATAAGGAAAGAGATGAGATGTTATAGTTATTAAGAAAATAATACTCTGTTAAGTAAAAATATATAAAAAAATATTAACTAATTATTTAAAATTATTATATAATTTATTATGATAATAAATAATTTTATTTGCGATAACATATATAATTAATTTTAAATTATTTTATCATAATAAATCAATTATACATCTAATTAAAATATATTTAATATTTATGAGTTAAATATATTTTTTATTTAATAATTTAATCTAATGATAATTAAGTTAAAATATGAAGATTAGTCATATTAGATAATTTAAAAAAAATATTTATTAAAAAGTTACTTTAAAATAAAGATATTTTTTTAATAATTATAACAATAATTTGTTATACCTCAAATTTATAATATAATAATTTTTTAAAATATAATATATTAAATTATAAGATTTTTGGATAATTTAAATATTTTTATTTTTTGAAATAATAATAAAAAAATATTTTATCAAATTTTAATATTTTTCATTAGAAGAATAAAATAAAAACAATAACAAGAAATTAATGTAGGAAAAAAAATTAATTAAAGAAAGAGAGTAAAATACTTATATTATATGGTAGGATTTTATTTCCTTTTATTAAATTTTATGTATGAATAATAAACTTAGTTAGATAAATAAATTTACATAAATTCTATTTAGATAATATTTTATTTGAAATATATTATTTAAAAAATTAATTATAATATTCATCCTACTACGTCAAATTTAAAATTAAGTTAAATATATGATAATTTTTAATTAAAACAACAATTTCTGTAATAACAATATTTAGAAAATACAAAAGGCACGGCAATCTGTGATGGCAAGTGCATAATTGTATTTGCAGTTGATATGTGACTGCGAAGAATGAGCAAGGTCACCTCCATCCGACTCACCAATAATTATGTTAGAAACAATCATATATGATTGCAGAGTTTGGACTTTGATTTCGAATCATACACAATAAAATATGTACGGATTAAGCATGATTCATCATTATCATGATTGTTTAGTGAAATTAATGACAATTATTACCAATAAACTATAAAGCTGACCTAATCTACCAAATTTTCCAATGGTGCCGCCGGTGCTTGATAGAAATACAAGACTTTGATTCAAATCTACTTATATTCCAATCAAATAATTTATTCCGCAACTTAATTAATATACGTGAGTTAGATACACTATATGTTTACTAGTGGATTTCTTGTAATGTATTAAACTTCTAGATTTTTCTTATGCTTCCGTGTCACCAAATAAAAACTTGGCTTCTATAATACGTTACGTATGTGTTCTTTATGGCTTCTATTAATTTGTTTTACTGGTTATGTGTGAACCATAATTGGGAGCAGTTTCCATGGGGTAGGTCTATTGTTCTTTTTAGTATCTTAATCTTTTAATTGTTTGCAAGACTATTCTTTCTCCACTTTTTAATATCATTGGCACACATTAACATTATTAGGGAGACATTAGCATCTTTATTGTCCTTCTTTGATTTAACTTCGACGACGTGGTTTCATTTAGTATAAATTTCGTGAATTATTTAGAAATATTGTTAAAAAATTATCAATAATGTTGATAAACAAATGAAGTAAACGATTTTATAATAAAAACTAGTCTAATTTTATGTTTAATTTTTAAAAAATACCCCGGCTATTATACATTGAAAAAAAAGTAAATTATAATTTTTCATGTAAAAATTATAAATTTCATTAAACAATTGTATGACCCAAAAATTATCTACTGAATATTGTAAATAATTTTTATTCTTTTGACAATTAAATATTGTACTTTGTTTATGAATTATAATTTTGATGAATTAATAATCACATCCTTAAATAGAACTATTCTTCATTGATGATATAATTTCATTGGTAAGTATAAGTATTAAAAAAAATGAATTTTCGAGTACCCGTTAAAATGGTTTAGTCCTAAAAGTCCCAAAAAAATAAAAAATATTTATTAGTTATTATTTTTTTTTTCTTTTTGATATTATCAGTTTTGAATAGGGTGTGCGAGTTCCTCTCAAGAGTAGCTGTAGATACTTGCAAGAGACTTTGATGCTTAAACGAACATGTGAACGTGAAAGGTACAAAATATGAGTGAAAAAAAATAAAATAGGGACTTGTTTATATAGAGTTAAATTACTGTATAAGAATATTTATCTTTTATTCATTAAGTGAATATTTTATAATAATTTTTAAGAATCTATAATAATTTTGTACATAATCAAATATAATACTTGAGATATTTGATCCAAATATCTCAACAGTTATCTAGTTATTTTTGGAATTGATTATATATATATATATATATATATATATATATATATATATATATAAATATATATAATACAACCAATTACAAAATTCATGTAACAAATATAAAATCATAAAAAATGTTACAATAAAAAAAATTATTCAACTTTCAATTTCATATCTATATTTTATTCATTTATGATAATGAATATATACTTGAATCTCTCCTCAACGCTATGATCAATTTCATATACAACAACCCAGCTATATTTGAATAGACATTTATTCTCATATTATTATATATTATTTTTTTTAAGTATTTTTATTTAAATTAGGTATTAATTTTTTTTATTATGTTTCAATTTTAAAAAATATTATTTAAAATAAATAAAAACAATATTAAATTATTATTTTGATTTAAAATATGGTTAATATTTTTTATTTCATATATAAAATATTATCTTCTTTTGTCCATAAAAAAAAATGTAATCAAAATCTAAAAATCCAACAAAATATAATTTGACACGCTATATTAAACCTAATATAGATTTGCGGCAGAAAAAACGATACGTGATTGATTTGTTACTTATACTCTAGCAGATTAATAGGTAAAAAAAATAAAAAAATAAAAATAATGAATATAAGTTAATTGTAAATGTGCTGGAGCCGAATTTGAAAACGAATACAACAAAATTACAAATGGTGTTTACTAAAACAAAGTAGTGGAGTGTTGGAAATAGAATAGAAAAAAGGCTGGACCAGAAAGTTGAACTCAATTATTAGTTAAAATATTATTTGTTAAAATAGTAAAACGTTCTGGCTCTATCCATGACCATCTGGCAGAAACATCCTAAAAAATATTGAAAAAAAATATTTTGACAACTCAATTTTTTTTTAAATATTCCATAAATAATTTAAAAATATTATTTTGTATTGATAAGAAGAGAATGAAATAAAATAAACAAATAATAAAATAAAAATTTAAAAATAGTTGTTGGAGGAATATGTGAAAAGAATGAGTTGTTAATATATTATATAACTATAAATATTGCATGTAATTTGGTAAATGCACCTCACTTATTATCTCATTTAGTTTACGGAAGTTGTGCACTTCTGTGAATTATTTTGGCCAATCCCTCGTTTTGCTCTCCCTACCCTAACAAGCATCATATGAAAACAATTCTAAGTCTTCCCATTGCGTGAATTGTTCTTGTTTAGTCTCACTCCATCAATGGGAAGTCCTTCCTCCTCTCATTCCGAACTGCTTTGTTCCTATGTTCCTGTACCCGATGGACCCCACTCTCCCGCAGAGCCTCCAAGAAAGGTGATGAAGGTGTTTGTCATCTTCTGTGGCATGCTAGTGCTTCTGTTTATTCTGGCCTTCAATGGCGATCATGTCACATCAACATTAACAACAACAACCAATGAACAAGAATTCAGCCCTCGTACTCATACAGTACCATGCTCAACATTGAAGCCATTTTCACGTGGCGTGTCTTCCGGGGTGTCGTGGAAATCTAGCTTTAACAACGATGAATCATATCCTTGGAACAATACCATGTTGTCATGGCAGAGAACGGTTTTCCATTTCCAACCTGAGAAGAATTGGATGAACGGTAACTTCATTTTAGTTCGTGTATTTTATAATTAAGATTGTGATTATATATATATATATATATATATATATATATATATATATATGTATATATATAAATAAATAAGTTCTAAATTGTTGAACTTTCAATACTTAATTTTTTTAAAATAAATTGTAGCTGTCATTTATCTTTTAAATGTTTGTGATACTAACTCTTTTTTTTATCTCTGTTGGGGTGACTTCGGCTTGCTCTGACGGGGACTCTGGTTGTCTGCTTCAGATCCTAATGGTAAGAGCCCCCCTCGCCTTTTCCTATTTCTTTATCATGACTTGCCAAATTCCTAAAGTTATCATATTATGTACCGAGTGATATGTTCACATCATCTGTTTTCCAATATACATAACAACTTCTTCTAATAATTTAAGATGATGATTAAAACTAATTAGTATATTAGTAAAATGGTCTGTGATTAAAAAGAGTTGTGAGGGTACCATTTTTCTTATGCATTGGTCACATGCAGTGGAACTTCTGTGCAGATTTTACAGTGTGGAAACGATAATTAGACTTTGAATTTTTCATAAGAAGGGATTGGGTTTTTCAAAATCTTTGAGCACTGGAGTTCTTAATAGTACTTTCCAGCAGTCTGGTTCTGAACCCACTTTTATGTTGGCAAACAATATAATACAGCTATCGTTTTAATCTTAATTGAAATGCCTTATATCTTTAGCTAAGCTTAAAATAACAGTAAAAGTATAAGATTTTACTTTATATATTTACTTATTTGTTAGAAGGTAAATCTATAAAATCCCCTTTCCCTTTCTTGATCCAATAGCACATTCTAGAAAGTTATACAGCCAACCAAAGTACAAATATTTTTTCCAACGTAGTTGGAATTATTCATGTCAAAGAGAGGGCTTCACAATTTTCCCTGCAGCACCTTTTTGACACAGTTGTTGCAATTTGGGTACTAATTTCAGGTCCTTTGTACTACAAAGGGTGGTATCACTTCTTCTACCAGTACAATCCGAAGGGTGCAGTTTGGGGTGTCATAGTTTGGGGGCACGCTGTATCAAGGGACTTGATTCACTGGCTTCACCTTCCACTAGCCATGGTGGCTGATCAATGGTATGACAAAAATGGTGTTTGGACTGGCTCTGCCACCATCTTACCTGATGGTCAAGTCATCATGCTATATACTGGTTCCACCAACGAGTCAGTGCAGGTCCAAAACCTTGCATACCCCGCAGACCCCTCTGATCCTCTCCTTGTTGATTGGATCAAATACCCTTCAAATCCTGTCCTGTTCCCCCCACCAGGCATTGGTACGATGGATTTTCGTGACCCCACCACAGCTTGGCTCACCTCTGAAGGCAAGTGGCGCATCAGTATTGGTTCAAAGCTTAACAAAACTGGCATTGCCTTGGTTTATGATACCAATGACTTCAAGACCTATGAGCGTGTGGAGGGACTGCTCCATGCAGTGCCTGGCACTGGCATGTGGGAGTGTATTGACTTCTTCCCAATTTCCATCAAGGGTGAAAATGGCTTGGATACTTCAATCAATGGGGAGAATGTGAAGCATGTGGTAAAGGTTAGCTTGGATGATGATAGACATGATTACTATGCAGTGGGGACTTACGATGAGAAGAATGTTAAGTTCACACCAGATGACTTGAAGAACGATGTTGGAATTGGACTCAGATATGACTATGGCATATTTTATGCATCAAAGACATTTTATGATCAGAGCAAGGAGAGGAGAGTGTTGTGGGGTTGGATTGGAGAGTCTGATAGCGAATATTCTGACGTAGCCAAAGGTTGGGCATCAGTTCAGGTGTGTTAAATTTTTGTACCCATATTTCTTGTTTGCCAATAGTTTCCTTTTAAATGAAACTTTTAGATTTTCATTTTAGAGAAAGGATTAATATACGGATTGACCGGACCATAATAATTTCTCCCTTTAAACTACTGCTGTATAAGCTAGCGATAACATTGATTGCATTTTACTTATATAGGGTATTCCAAGAACAGTGACACTTAATAAGAAAACTGGTAGCAGGTTACTTCAATGGCCTGTAGCAGAGGTGGAAAGTTTGAGACTGAGAAGTGACGAGTTTGAAAATTTGAAGGTGAAGCCAGGGTCAGTGGTGCCTCTTGAAATTGAAACAGCTGCACAGGTTTGGGTTCATATTAATTTTTTAATTGGCAAAGTAGTTAGAAGAACATTAAGTTGAATGTAATTAAGGTAGGCTAATTCAATGACATGAAATTGCATCTTCCAATGCAACAGTTGGACATTGTAGCTGAGTTTGAGATAGATAACAAAGCCTTGGAGATGACTAGCCAGTTCAATAGGGAGTACGAGTGTAGCACCAGTGGTGGAGCAGCAGAACGTGGTGCCTTAGGACCATTTGGTCTTCTAGTTTTGGCTAATGAAGATCTTTCTGAATACACTCCCACATACTTTTATGTAGTTAAAGGAAGCGATGGACAACTTAAAACATCCTTTTGCTCTGATCAATCAAGGTATTAGACTTATATTGAACTTGTAGTTGCATTGCTTGTCTCTTAAGGAGAAAATAATTGTGTTAAGTTGTGATAAAAAACAATGTTGCATAAGTTACGTCTTATTTTGTAGGTCTTCTCTAGCAACTGATGTTGGTAAGAAAATCTTTGGAAGCTTTGTTCCAGTACTAGAAGATGAAAAATTGTCTTTAAGAATATTGGTAAGCGTTGTGAGATTTCTTGTTAAACGTTTAATATATATTTTACATGAAGGTGAAGTAGCTTAACTAATGAACTTGAAATTTTGATGCTGCAAATTAGGTGGACCATTCTGTGGTGGAAAGCTTTGCTCAAGGTGGAAGGACATGCGTGACATCCCGAGTTTATCCAACCAAGGCAATTTATGGAGCTGCTAGATTGTTTTTATTCAATAATGCTACTGAGGCCACTGTGACTGCTTCCGTTAAAGTTTGGCAAATGAATTCTGCATTCATACGCCCCTTCAATCCAAACCAACGTAATTAATTCCCTTTAAAGGATAAGGGATTCACAGGTCACAAGTACTTAGAAGAATTTGTTGGGAATTCACAGGTCACAAGTACTTCGAAGAATTTGTTAAGACAAAGCTGTTTAATAGATTGGATTTTGTAATCTGGTAGCTAGAATGAGTGCAACATTAAATTTTTTGTTTATTTAGTGTTTACACAATATTCACTCATATGATCAATTAAATGTTAATTTTTTAATCGGCTTTACGTGTAGATATACATTTATTCTTTATGAACCACAATTTCAAATTTTTTTAGTTAAATTAATATTAATAAGCCATATTAGAGATTTTTTTTGTTTTAAAATAAAACCATATATGAATAGAAAGTAATATACACCTACTATTAGTTTATAACAGCAAACAGCAAAGTTTACTGGTATTATTATTTAAATTAACAGAAAAATACGTCTTATCCTTTTATTGGTTTTAAATTCAAAACAGAATACTATTGATGATTATTATTAATTAAATTTTTTGTTTCATTTTAATTATTTAAAATTAAATATAAAATAAAATTTTATTTTAACATATTAATATTTTAAATTATTATTTTCTTAGTTAATACTCTAATTAAATTCCTTAATCACATCACATGTTTGTTTACGAATGTAAGAGTTTGGTTTGGTCCCAAATCGGTGGGTCGTGTATCATAAAATTTTTCGTTACCATAACTAGGTGGCATTTTTTGAAAGCAGATAAAGCTTGAACACGTGTACTACTACTTACCACTGCTACTCCGTTCTTCTTCCTTCCCCTTTCACTATGAGCAACTGAACTGCAACCTCCCTTCAATTCGCTTCTCCTCTTGTTACCATGATGGCCCTCAATTCATTGTTACCACTTTCAGTTAATGCTCTTCACGTATCTTCAAGCTCAACTTCCAAGATTTCGCTTTCTCGTTCAAAGCCCTTTGCCGTTGCCTGCCAAATGAACTCAAACAGAGATAGTGAAGGTCAGTACTGAATAGTGAGTTCCTCTAATTTTTATTTTTTTATTTTCATTGAAAGAAGAAAGAGTGTTGGTTGTAACACAGTGGTTGCCAATGCAGAATCCAGGAAATGGGGGAAAGTGGTTTCGGCCACGGTGGCGGCTGCCGTTATTGCCTTCAGCTCTGACATGTCTGCCCTTGCTGATCTCAACAAATTTGAGGCTGAAATGAGGGGTGAATTCGGGATAGGATCGGCTGCGCAATTTGGCTCTGCAGATCTCAGGTTGGTTTATTTCATGCAATTTTATCTTTGCCGATTGATAAGTAACACTTTCGAACTATGTTTTAGGAAATAACAATAACTGAATTGTGTTCGCTTACTGTTGAGCAGGAAAGCAGTGCATGTGAATGAAAATTTCAGGTGATGTTTTGTTTCATGAAAAATTAGACATTATGCAGTTTTATTCTTCTCCTTCCTATATTAACTTCTTCAAATTTGTGACCCAAAAAGGAAAACGAAAAAGGTGGGAATAAAACGATAGAAATAGAATGGAGAATCAATAGGAAAATGTTTTTATTTTGATTTTCACTTATACTTGGTGTAGGTTTTTCTATCAGAAGTAAACATTCATCTTTACTTGTTCCTTTAGTCAATGTTCTGTTTTGTTGTTTCAATTTTACGTATGACAGGTAGAGAGTAGGAGGTGGCGCTAGCCCATAGTTTTCATTTATTTAATGCAATGCAACATTGTCAAGATACACAAAGAAACTCCACTTCACTGATGTAAACATTACATACTGAGCACTAGTCGGTTTAGTTATGCATTTCAGCATCCATTCCTCAGGTTGATGTTTTATTGGAGGCATTACTAGTCAAATAGAAGTACTGATCTGGCGACTAGGAAAGAAGCTACAATGTTTATTTCTAATTAACATTATGTAATGTTTGTTAAAATATCAAAAATGGAATGAAACAGTAATGTGGAATAGTGGTATTCAATTTGGAAAAAAAATCTCAGTACAATAGAAGAAAAATAACCAAAAAGGGTCCCAACAGAAAAATGGTCAGAGAAATGAACCACCAGAGAGAGAAAGGTTCTACATCAATCCACCACCCCCTTTCTTCCTTTTCTTTTTTTCGTTTTATGCTCACTCTCACATCACAAAATCCCTTCAACGTGTATTTGACCTTCTTAATACGTGCCCCCTTGCCCATTTCCTCAATTTCAACACCACTTGCCACGTGTCCTCTTCTTCTAACTAACTCTGCAATTGACTCTTCTACCCTCCTTGCATTGTTCCCCACTTGATCGTTTGTTACAAGTCCCCCCTCTATTGAAAATAACCTTGTCCTCAAGGTTAAAATTAGGAAAAGCTGCTGTCAGAATTTGATGATCTTCCCATGTGGCATGTGAGCTATCCATACCTTCCCATAGGACTAAGTGTTGCTGAACTTGTTGGTTGCCTCTAATTATGACTCTTGTCTGCAATATGGAAGCAGGTTGTATTACTGGTTCTGAATCAGTGACCATTATTGGTAATGGGACATATGGTTTATCATGGTTGCCTTGACACAATTGGGATACATGAAAAATTGGATGGATCTTCGTGTTTTTTGGCTGTTGAAGCTTGTAAGCCACATTTCCAATCTTCTGCAAAGTTGTAAAAGGACCAAAGTATCTAAGGCTGAGCTTCTGATTCTTTCACAAGGCCAAGGAATGCTGCCTATATGGTTGTAACTTCACGAAAACCTTGTCTCCTACTTGCAATTCAAGTGGTTTCCTCTTTTGATTAGCATACTTCTTTTGAATTTGCTGGGCTCAAAGTAAATTGGTTTTCAATTTACTAAGCACTTCATCACGATTGAGTAATTGTTCCTGAACTGATGGAGGGTCCTGGTTGTTATGAACATATTTGAGCAACTTGGGAGGGTCTCTACCATAAACAACCTTGAAAGGTGTCATGCCAATGCTGGTATGATAGGCTGTGTTGTACCAGTATTCAGCCCATGGAAGGAGCTTAGACCAGTCTTTCGGTTTGTCAAAACAAAAGCATCTCAAATACATCTCAAGGCACTTGTTGAGAGCTTCAGATTGACCATTTGTTTGTGAGTGATAAGCTGTTGACATTTTCAGAGTTGTGCCACTCAACTTGAACAATTGTTGCCAAAACTGACTTATAAACACCTTATCTCGATCAGAAACTATTGTCTTTGGAAAGCCATGGAGTTTAACCACCATTTGTATGAAAGTCTCAGCTACTTGCTTGCTGTTAAAATCACCTTTTAGTGTAGCAAAATAAGCATATTTTGAAAGTCTGTCAATGATTACCAAAATTACAGTATAACCATGAGATGGAGGAAGTTCTATGATGAAATCCATTGTCAAATCTTCCCAAATTAAATTAGGGACAGGTAAGGGTTGAAGTAATCCAGCAAGAACGATATTAGCTGTCTTAGCTTGTTGGCTCACTAAGCATTGTTGGACAAACTTCTTGATATCATCATGCATACCAGACCAATGAAACTGTGAAGCAATTCTTGCTAAAGTGCGAGTGTAACCAGCATGACTACCAGTGAGCTATGATACTCTTGTAGAATTTGAGATATCAACTCAACTGTATGAGGAACTACAATTTTATCTTTCCAAAGTAACAGTTTGTCATGCACTGTATAATGTGGGCCTGGAGGTGAGTTAATGCTGCATTTTAGCACTATAGCTGCAATTTCAGGCTCTTCAAGTTGAGCCTTCCTTATTTTCTCAATGAATGTACTCTGATTTTGAAACTCTGGAAAAATATATTAACTGAAATATGATTTATTTTATTATTACAATACAAAGAGATGATATAAGATATATACAAGAGACCTAAACTATTTTAGGAAATATAATAACTCTATTTTATGCTAGGATCCCTTGATTTATGGGATTGTTCCTAATTATTCAAATGCATGCAGATTACAAGGAAATATACAAATTTCCTTATTTATTCTTTCCTAAAATACTATTTGATTTCTCACACTCCCCCTCAAGCTTGGTGAATAGATGTTTTCCATTCCCGAGCTTGGATACAATCTTCTCAAAATTATAGCGACCCGAGTCCCTTGGTAAGAATGTCCGCAATTTGGTCTTGAGATGACACATATGGAGTGCATATCAAGCCACTATCAAGTTTTTCTTTGATGAAGTGTCTGTCTACTTCAATATGCTTTGTTCTATCATGCTTGCCTTGGGTTGTGGGCTATACTGATTGCTGACTTATTATCACAATAGAGCTTCATAGGTTCTTCCCACTTTATCCTCAAGTCTTCTAAGATGATTTTAAGCCATAGCAACTCACATATACCTTGTGCCATGGCTCGGAATTCGCTTCAGACTTCGGACCGAGCCACTTACACCTGCTTTTTGCTTCTCCAAGTCACAAGATTTCCTCCAAGAAAGGTGTAATATCCCGTAGTTGACCTCCTATCCACAATTGACCCTGCATAATCGGCATCGAGTATAGGCTTCAAGTTTCACATTACCATTCCTTTTGAATAGAATCCCTTTTCTTGGAGTTCCTTTAAGGTACTGTAAAATTACGTGGGCAGCTTGTAAATGGGTCTCCTTTGGGCTATGCATAAATTGACTAATTAAACTCACTTGCATAGGCAATATCCGGCCTGATATGTGACAAATATATAAGTCTCGCCCACTAATCTTTGGTACATATCTTTTTCAACGACAACATCTTCTTACGCATTTCCAAGCTTTAGGTTTGGTTCTAATGGGTACTAGCGGGTTTGCAAGTCTGCCTTGCCAATTTTCTTGAGCAAATCGGTGATGTATTTCTGCTGAGATATAAATATCCCTTTCTCGAGTGGGCAACTTCAATTCCCAAAAAATATTTTAGTTTTCCCAAAGTCTTGATCTCAAATTCCTTGCCTAAGCATTGACTCAATAATTGTTGCTCTTCTTTATTATCTCTAGTTAATATTATGTCATCCACATACACCAATAATATTGTTACTCCCCCGACTTGGAATGTTTAAAAAACAAAGTATGGTCCCCTTGGCTTTGTTTGTAACCCGGACTTGTCATAACTTTAGTAAACCTGCCAAACCATGCACGGGGACTGTTTTAACCCATATAATGCCTTTTTCAACTTGCAAACGAGTGTTGGTAGCAACATCTTTACCATATCCCGGAGGTATCTCCATATAGATTTCTTCTTCAAGGTCTCCATGTAGGAAAGCATTCTTAACATCAAATTGTTCCAAGTTCCAATCATAATTGGCAACAAGGGACAATATCACCCTAACTTGTGTTCATTTTGGCAACCGGAGCAAAGGTCTCCAAATAATCAACTCCATAGGTTTGGGTGAACCCTTTGGCAACTAGTCTTGCCTTATATCTCTCAATTGATCCATCGGCCTTGTATTTCATCTGTATAGACCCATTTACATCCAAGCTGGCCTCTTTCCTATTGGTAAGGTGACTAACTCCCAAGTGTTGTTTTTCTCCAATGCCTCCATCTCTTCATCCATGGCTTGCCTCCATTTTACATCGAGACAATGCCTCGGATAGGGTATTAGGTAGAAGTACGGTGTTTAGGTTTACTATGAAGGTTTTATGGGTAGGAGAGAAATTTTTAAAGGACAGGTAATTTGAGAGAGGGTAGAGTGGCTGTTTGGTGCATTTTCTTGTTCCTTTTCTAATGGCAATTGGGAGGTCGGGATCATTTTGGGTTTCAATTTCAACCCTGCATAATTGGAGAAAAAATTGTTACCTCTTTTTGTGGAGTTGAGTTGGATTCTTGAACATGGCTTGATCCTGGAATGACCTTAGTCTTCCTTGAGTACACCAGCTTCTTATCAAATTTTCTAGTTTCAACATCTTCTTGATCAGCTTCACAATTAATTTCACTTTCTTGACCAACTTCCTTAGCTTGACCAATTCCTTGACTTGTTTCATTTGTTACAACTTCAATTTGATCTTGTTTAGGTTCAAATATCAAGTCTGGAAGAATGGGAAAACCAGAATTACTACTTTCAATATGATTTCGTTTAGGTTCAAATGTCAAGTCTGGAAGAATGGGAAAACCAGAATCACTACTTTCCTTATCTTCCCTGAAACTCTCCCCTTGAAGATAAGGTTGATGGAAATAACCCTCTTGTTCATTGAAGGTAACATCCCTAGACACAAAGAATTTTTTGGATGGGGGGTGGTAGCATTTATACCCTTTTTGAGTGGGTGAGTAACAAACAAAGATACACTTTAAGGCTCTAGGATCAAGTTTTCCCCTGTCTGTACTATGAATATGGACATATGAGATGCAGCCAAAAACTCTTGGTTTAAGATTATTTGTAGTAGACAAGTTTGGATAGAAAGACGACAAAACTTCCATAGGGCTTTTTGATCATAAGACTCTAGAGGGTAGTCT